TAGGCCCCTACCTCATCCCTGTTTTGCTCGCTTTGTTATTTTCACACATGTGGTGGTGGTTTTGGGTTCATTAACTAACTGGTTTACTTTTGCATCATTGTTTATTGCTCAAGTTCTGCGGCGATACCCAGGTCGGCGGCCAACTCGTCCTCCCGATTGCAATGTTCTATGCACGCGGTCTGGGTGGCCTCGGTTGCCCACAACTCCTCCCTGGCCTCCCAGTAGGCCGCCAGTTGGGCTGCATCATTGTCCCGTTCAAGCTCTTCGCGGGCGCGGTATCGCAGCTCTGCCGCCCACTCCTCCCGGGCCGCGGCCTTGCAAGGGCGGCAGAGGGTCCAGGGGGAGAAGCAGCACACACAGTTCCAGGCCGCCAGGCAGGGCGGCCCCCTGGGGGACGAACTCCGGCTGGATGTTGGCGCTGCACAGGTCAAAGGTCCACGGTCACTATTGGTTTGACAGTACACGCGCTCACCTCTCTGTTCTGGGATACTTACAGGTCGTGGGGTCCGTCGCGCGGGCTGCGGCATCGACGGGGCCGCCCGGGGATGGGGTGAAGAATGGCGGACTGGCCAGCCCCACCCCGCTGTCGTCCTGTGGCTGACGACTCTGGCTAGGGGTGCCCTATAGCACTGACGGTTCGGATGATGGGCTGCTTGAGGAGGGGGCGGCCTCCGCGGCGCGGGATTGGCTGCTGGACGGGCTGCTGGGGGGCGGACCCGCTGCTGGATAGCCAGGGGCTCCCCGGGTCGCCTGGAGCGAAGCTGGAGGCGCCCGGACTGGCCGGGGGTGACGGTGGCGCCGGCGGCAGGGCCGAGTTGCCCCACTCGGCTTCGTCGCCGTACAACCAGCTCGCCGTGTCTCGACTATACGCGGCCACTGGCACGTAGGATCAGCCCACAGATGGTAGCATGGACCTCCACAACAATTGGTGAGTAGGGGCCGACAAGCTTGCTGGGAGGAGGGGTCCGGTACTCACCGATCCAAACAGCGGCCTGACCGGAGGGCACGCGGCACTATAGAGTAGCGGACATCTCGTAGACGACAGCGACTGGTTGCACTGGGCCGGGTCGGGCTGCGCGCCGCCTCTTATGCGTGGCCGGCAGCACTGCTCCCCGCCCACCCCCTCCCCCCTCC